CCATCCAGTCCCAGGCTTGCACGCACATGCAAGGTGGGTGCCGGAGGTAGCATTTTTTCTAGGGTTTTGTCCCACAGTAAAGATTGTCTTGAGAAAATTGACTTTAGGTAGAGACAGATTACCTTCTCTTTTAGACAGGGTCCTGCTCTGTCTGAGGCTGGATTGCAGTGGTGCCATCGTAATTACCTGCATACTGCGTCCTTGAACTCCTGGGCTCAAGTGATCTTCCTGCCTCAGCCTCCTGAGTAGCTGAGACCACAGGCATGTGCCACTACATCCAGCTAATTTTATTTTATTTTTTATAGAGACGTAGTTTCCCTGTGTTGTCCAGGCTCTTCTTGAACTTCTGAGTTCCAATTATCCTCCTGCCTCAGCCTCCCAAAGTGGTGGGATTACAGGTGTGAGCCAAGCCTGTTCAAGATTACCTTTTGATATCCAGTCCCCAGGAGAACAAAGTCAAGTGCAGAGGCTTTAAGAGGGACCAGGGAAACTGAGATTGGAATGATAAGAATATGTACTTTCTCTAGGCCAGTTGCCTTCTGGTGGGGTTGTCCCAACTCAGAATCATTCTTTTACAGGGTAAGTTAGCATTCATTTTTTAAAAAAAGTTTAAACCACATTTAGCCACAGTAAAATACATATAACATATAATTTGTCTTTCTTTTTTTTTTTTTTTGAGATGAAGTTTTGCTCTTTCTTCAAAGAAGAAAGAGGCTGGAGTGAAGTGGTGGGATCTCAACTCTGCCCCCCGGTTCAAGCAATTCTCCTGCCTCAGGCTCCCGAGTAGGTGGCACTCACCACCATACGTGGCTAATTTTTTTATTTTTAGTAGAGATAGAGTTTCACCATGTTGGCCAGGCTGGTCTCGAACTTCTGACCTCAGGTCATCCACCTGCTTTGGCCTCCAAAGTGCTGGGATTGCAGGCGTGAGCCACTGCAGCCGGCCCAATTTGCCATTTCAACAGTTCTTAAGTGTATAGTTATTCAGTAGCGTTAAGAATGTTTCCATTGTCATGCAGCCAATCTCCAGAACTTTTTCATCTTGCCGAATGGAAACTCCATGCCCACTGAACAACGGCTGCCCATTTTCCCCAGTCCCAGCCCCTGGCATCCACCCTTCTAGCTTTTTGTCTCTATGCACTCCTCATGTAAGTGGAATCACAGGGTATTCCTCATTTTGTGACTGGCTTATTTCATTTAGCAAAATGTCCTCAAGTTTTTTCTGTGTTGTGGCATGTGTCTTTCCTTTTTTATTTTTGTGTCTTTCCTTTTTAAGGCTGATTTAGTGTTCATTCTTAAAAACCTAAGACTCTGAATATAGATAGTTGTTCTTTGCATTCACACCTTAAGGCAACCCCCTACATTGTGCCAAATGTGACATTTGTTTCCCCTTCACCCTTCTAATCAACTAAATTTAAGTATTATTATTATTAATTATTATTATTTACTGGCTCCATCCACTCTTATGAAAATTTAAGTATTATTGCTTTACATTTTTATGGCAGGAGTTGGTTGTCAAAGTATGTTCACCAACATTATTTTATTTTATTATTTTTTTGAGACAGGGTTTTGCTCTTGTTTCCCAGGCTGGAGTGCAATAGGGTGATCTCGGCTCACTGCAACCTCTGCCTCCTGGGTTCAAGCGATTCTCCTGCCTCAGCCTTCTGAGTAGCTGGGATTATCGGGGCGTGTCACTACACCTGGCTAATTTTTTATTTTTTGTGGAGACAGGGTTTCTCCATATTGGTCAGGCTGGTCTCAAACTCCCAACCTCAGGTGATCCGCCCGCCTCGGCCTCCCAAAGTGCTGGGATTACAGGCATGAGCCACTGCACCCAGGCACAAACATTTATTTTTAATAACAGCAATACTGAGCTGTAATTCACCCATTTAAAGTGTACAATTCAGTGATTTTTGTATATTCACAAGGTTGTGCATCCATTGCCACAACCAATTTGGCTCATCATCCCAAACCTTGGATCCACGAGCTATCACTTTTCACTCCTTCCTCCCGCAGCCCTGGGCAACCACAAATCTCCTTCCTGTCTCTATGGATATGTCTATTCTGGACATTTCATAAATGGAATCATACAGTACGTGAACCTTTGTGACTGGCTTCTTCCACTTTGCAAATGTTAACATTCATCCATGTAGCATGTATCAGCATTTCATTCCTAATGTGGCTGAATAGCTCTATGGATATGCCACATTTTATCTGTTCCGTTTAGCTGTTATTGATAACGCTGCTATAATCATTGGTGTACAAGGTTTTTTTGTGGACATGTTTTCATTTCTGTTGGGTACATACCTAGGAGTGGAACTGCTTTTACATGCTTTCATTTTAAAAAGGACTTTTTTTAGACAAATTTTACATTTACAGAAAAATTGTGAAGATAGTATAGAGAGTTTTCATATGTCACCTTACCAAGTTTCCCCTATTATTAACATCTTACCTTAGTAGGATGCATTTTTAACAATTAACAAACCAATACATTATTATATATTAACTTTATTAATAATATTAAGAATATTGGATATAAATGACCAACACATTATTTAACAACATTCGTATTTTATTTTATGAATAAAATATTCAGATTTCCTTAGTTTCTACCTAATGTCTTATTTATGTCCCAGGATCCCATCCAGGATACCAAATTTCAATAGTCATTTCTCTTTTGACTCATCCAGACTGTGACAGTTACTCAGACTTTCCTTGTTTTTGATGACCTTAACAGTTTTGAGGAGCACGGGTCATGTAGTTTGCGGAATGTCCCTCTGTTAGGATTTGTCTGATGTTCTTTTTTATTTTCGATTTTCTGTCTGATTTTCTTTTCATGATGAGACTGGTTTGATGGGTTTCAGGAAGGAAGACCACAGGGGTAAAGCATCGTTTACACTTTGTCTTATATCAAGGGTGCATAATCTCAATGTGAGTTACCGCTATTGATGTTGACCTTGAACACCTGGCTGAGGTAGTGTTTGTCAGGTTTCTCCACTGCGTGGTGACTCTAACTTTCCCCTCTTTCATACTGTGCTTTGTGGAAGGAGGTCACTCTGCACAGCCCACAATGAAGTGTGGGTGATGCTCTACCCCCCTAAGGGGGAGTACCTACACAAAGTATTTGGTATTTTTCTGTACGGAAGATTTGGCTGCTTCTTCATTTATTTATTCAAACATTGAGTTGTGCTATACTTCATGCTATAATCCAGTATTGCTCTATTAATTCTGTGGCTCAAGTTCCAGCTTTGGCCTTGGGAGCTCCCATAGTGGGCCCTTGTCCCTGTGACATGCCCCATCGATGAATTGTTTTCTTAACACCTTTTTTCTTTTTGGTGCTACAAACTGACCCAGGCTCATCTAGAATATTTTCTGGGTCTGTCTTCAAATTAGCCATTTCTCCAAGGAGTCCTGCTTCCTATGATTGGAGAATGCTGTAGAAACCAAGATTTGGACTCTGGATGTGTCCTGTACATTTATTTGTTTTTCACTCTGATCATCCCCATGTGAACTCTTTATGACTTTTTTTGTCTTTTCATCTTCCAGTAAGTCTGAAACAGCCACTGGAATGTAGTGGTTAAGAGGAAGGACTCAGGAGTCAGATTGCTTGGCTTCATCTCATAGATCCATCACTTATCCCCTTATGGACTTAATTCCTCCATGCCTCAGTTTATCGTTTATAGCCGTTGTAGGCTTAATTCCTCCATGCCTCAGTTTCCCTACATATAAAATGGAAATACTAACAGCACCTACCTTGTAGGGTTGTTGTAAAGCTTAACAGATGTAAGACCTGTGATATGTTTAATGGTGCCTGGCACCCAATCCAAGCTCAAATGTGGATGGCAGTGGCAGTAATTATTGGGGAGGACAGGGCAGATGCTCTTTTTTGTTCTTTTAAGTCAATTAAGTGACTTGCCTAAGACATGGTCAAGTGGAAGTTCACCCAAGGGGTCTTGTGTCTCCATGGTACCCTGCTACCGCCTGACTGTAATATTTTGTTTCAGCGTGTGAGTCTGTGATAAATACCTGAGATGCTGTGGGGCTCCATGTGGAATATGAGTGCCAGCACCAGAGTTGAGGGCTCAGGAGCTCTTGGGTGGAAACAGTTAACATTTAAAATAAACTGGCTGGGCACGGTGGCTCACGCCTGTAATCCAAGCACTTTGGGAGGCCGAGGTGGGCGGATCACAAAGTCAGGAGTTCAAGATCAGCCTGACCAATATGGTGAAACCCCGTCTCTCCTAAAAATACAAAAATTAGCCAGGCATGGTGGTGCATGCCTGTAATCCCAGCTACTTGGGAGGCTGAAGCAGGAGAATCGCTTGAACCTAGGAGGCACAGAGGTTGCAGTGAGCCAAGATCACACCGCTGCACTCCAGCCTAGGTGACAGGGAGAGACTCAATCTCAAAAAAAAAAAAAAAAAAGACACATTTAAAATAAACAATATTATCAAAATGTGTACTTTAAAAAAATTGACACATAATAGTCCTACATACTTATAGGGTACCTGTGACATTTTGTTACATGCATAGAACGTGTAATGATCAAGTCAGGGTATTTAGCACACGCATCACCTTTACCATGGATCATTTCTTTGTGTTGGGAACATTTCTTATCTTCTAGCTGTTTTGAAATATACAATACATTGCTGTTAACTCTAGTTACCCCACAGTGCTATCTAACTCTAGAACTTACTTATTCTATTAACTGTGTGTTTGCACCCATTCACCAACCCTTCTTTCTCCTCTCCCACTCCCATCCAGCCCTGGTTAACCATCATTCTATTCTCCCCCTCCATGAGATAAACTTTTTTAGGTTTCACATTGAGTGAAAACGTGATATTTATCTTTCTGAGCCTGGCTAAAATGTGTACTTTTAAGGTATTTATTATTTTAAGAATAGGATACTATGTAATTAAAAAAAAAACTCATTCTGGGTTAGGAATGAAAAGCCATTCGATATTAAATTAACTTGAATGCTTTCTTTTATCTCCCTTTAGTGGACTCATTGGGCGAAGCTGGGCCATGCTGTTTGCCAGTGGAGGCTTTGAAGTGAAACTCTATGACATTGAGCAACAGCAGATAAGGAACGCCCTGGAAAACATCAGGTGGGCCAGCCGGTGTGCTCTAGGTGGAATGGAAATGGGTCTGTCTCTCTCAGTTGGGCTTGTTTGTCATATCCTTAAGGCTGAATGTATCTGTGATGTCACTTTTCATCTGATGGCTACTTCAGTGTCTCTGAGTTGGTAAAGGCCAGGCCAACAGTGGCTGGAATATGAATTCACACTGGGGAAGGGCTCCCACGGAAAGGGAGCCTTCTGGCTGAGGGGATCTCCATCAAGCATGAGTGACTTTGCAGGCTTCTCCGGCTGTGTGCCCAGGGCTGGAGGGCTGGGGTTTCCTGCTTGTATCTGGGCATGAGGAACTCACTTCCAGCATGTAACAGCCAGAGCTGCAGGGGCATTACAATTTAGGAACAGAGGTCCTGCAGCTTGTTTTGACCTATTGATCTAGTAATGGTAGGGCCCAAATGAAAACCTCCTGAATTTTAGTGAGAGGTTTAGCACTCATGTGAGAGGACAGACCTGTCCTATATATGTGGGTGTCGTTAACTGTGACAGCGGTACTAGTTAAAGGTGTGAGAGTGGATGAACTTACCAAATGCTAAATGCTAAGAATGTGGAGGGCTGTTTTAGGGATGATAGTCACAGGAACCAAATAAATGCTGAGAATGAGGGAGGTCAAGGACAGGGGAAAGAAGCCGTTGCGGCATGCCCAGAGGCAAAGGCACTGGTGTGGAGCACCCTCGCTGCACAGTGCGGCTCCCTGCAGTGCTGTCACATAACAAGATTCTGACCATCTCAGACATGCTTTCTGTTTAGCTGGTTATTATCCTTATTTGGAAGATATCTGTGAATATATAACTTGAATTCGCATTTTGGTGCAACAAAAATATGCTCCCTTTATTGTCTACATTTTGAAAAGACTAATATGTAGGGTAGGATGTTGAACTATAGACATTAAGAAATTATATACCCTAATCCAGTGTTGGTTTTACAGATTAAGAATCTGAACATGGAGAAGTTAAGTTACTTCTTCCATATTGTTACAAATGGCCAATGCCAGGGTAAAATGCCAATCTAAAAAATAAAAACCTTGGCCAGGCGTGGTAGCTCACCCTTATAATCCCAGCACTTTGGGAGACTGAGGTGGGAGGATCAGTTGAGGCTAGGAGTTCAAGACCAGTGTGGGCAAAAAGATTCTATGGGCATTCTGGAATATATTCTAGATACATTCTTTAGATCTTTCTTCCAGTTCATCTACAGAAAAAGAGAAAAAATTATCCGGTGTGTTGGCACTCATCTGTAGTCCTAGCTACTCAGGAGGCTGAGGCAGAAGGATTGCTTGAGCCCAGTAGTTCCAGGCTGCGGTGAGCTGTGATTGAAGCACTGCACTCCAGCCTGGGCAGCAGAGTGACACTTTGCCTCAACATAAATAAAATAATAAAATACAAAACCAACCAGACAAAAACCAAAAGTAAAACAATCACCACAAAACCACTCACATAGACTGTATGGTTTTGGAAGGAAGGGAACTTGGCATTTCAGTACCAACTACCTGCCAGCCATGTTCTGTTCACTAGAGGTACATAGTGAACAAGGTAGACACAGTCTTTTCTGCCATGGAGTTTATGGCTTAGTAATCTTACTCTATTAAATTCTCATAATAAACCCTATGAGGTGATATTATTGACATTATTTTATGAGAAAACTTAGGTCTATGAATGATCAGTAATTTCCTCAAAGACACAGTAAGACATAAGATTCCAGCCCTTGTCTGTCAGACTTCAAAGATGTGTTAAGCATCTTCAGTATCCATCTATACTATTTGCTTTATAGAGATCCTGGAATTATTATTAAAAAAATTTTAGGACTACTTCTCTCCCCATAGTACTTTTAATATGATATTGGATATACATAAAATAGATTGTTTATGTAAGTTTGGGAAGAATAATAATAAAACAAATGACATGACCCAACCACCCAACCTAGATTTTGAACATCATCAATACCTTGCATGCACCTTTGGATGTCATCCCCCTGCCTTCCCACCAGTGGCAATAAATATCTCATATTTTATATTTGCTGTTTTCTTGCCCTAAAAAATCCTTTAATCATATATATGTATCCCTAACAACATGCTGCTTAGTTTTGCTTATTCTTGTGCTCTACATAAAAGACTATTTCTGTAATACGTCCAGTTATTGCTTATAGCTGTAGTATGTCTATTTTCACTGCTATATCATATTCTGTTGTGTGAATTTGCAATAAGTCATTTATCTCTTGTCCCTATGATGAATGTTGTAACTTTTTCCAGTTTGGGGCTATTGTAAACATTACTGTCATTAATATTCTTGCATATAACTTCCAGTAAATGCAAAAGTTTCAACAGGGTACACACCTAAGAGTGAGATGTAATGGATTTCTTTTCACTGCAGAGATTCTGATTGCGTGGACATTGGACCACCTCAGTTTGCCTTCCTGTCTTTTAACATCTCTATCATATTTTCTGTCTCCTTGTGTTTTTGGAACATATTCTGGATATATTCTTTAGATCTTTCTTCCAGTTCATCAATTCTTTTTTTTAGCTGTGTCTAATCTGCTATTTAAACCATCTACTGAGTTATATCAATAATTTAATTTTTTATTTTAAAAATTCAATTTGCCATTTTCCCAGACATACCTGTTCATTTTCATGGTCTCTCATTATTTCCTTATTCATTGTGGTTCCGTTTTTCAAATCTTTGTGTGTTCATATCTTTGTGTATTTAATACACAATTGTTTTGTATTATATATCTGATAACTCCAGTACCTGAGGTTGTCTGAGATCAAATTCATCAGAATCAGATCCTGAGATGAACGTTCATGGGCAAGTGATTTACTGAGGAAGTGCTGCCAGGAGGAACCCATAAGGGAATAGGTGAGAGAGGATTAAAAGGAGAAGAAAGCAACTAAGGGCACGATTTCAGGAGAAGCCCCATGCTCAACAAGATTCTATGGGCATTCTGGGACATAGAGTGCACTGCAAAGTTTGTTATCCCTTAGAACAAGGGCTGAGCATTCACGTTCCTGCATTAGTCATTGACTACGAGCCTTCCTGGGTGACTATAACCCCCCAGGCATTTCCAGTTCTCGTCTGGGTCCAGGGTAGGACTCTGAGGAGGGCTGCAGCTGTGAGCCTTTGGAGCCCAAGTGGGCTCCAGACAAGGGACTGGCAAACTCAAAAGCTGGGGGCTGGTGAAGGGGGTTTAGACAAACCTGGGTGGAGCACTAGTGGCCTTCATTATAGCACTTCACCACTAAATTGGGGGGGGTTTCAATAAAAAAGCTTTTTTGACTCACTTTTTCATACGTTCATTCATTCAAAAATACTGGTTGAGCACCTACTATGTGCTGGGCACATTTTATCACTTGTGTTTAAGCAATAGACACAACAGACTAAGATCTCTGATCTTGAGGAAGTCACATTCTATGTGAGAGAGGGAAGCATCGACAGATACATAATATAAAACAAATTACTGAAATATATGATCTGTTAGAGCAGGGGTTGACAAAACATGGTCAGCTGGCCCCATCTGGCCCGTGGCCTGTTTTGCATAGGCTTTTCAATTCCTAGGTTTCGGCTTTAAAAACAAAACTAGCTTTTATTTCTAAAGAGCAGTTTTAAGTTCACAGCAAAATTAAGAGGAAACTACAGAGATTTCCTACACAGCCCTTGCCCTCATGTACACACAGTCCCTACCCACCACATCCCCCACCACAGTGGCACATTTGTTAAAATAAATGAACCTACACTGACACATCCTTATCACCCAAAGTCCATGGTTGACATTAAGATTCACTAGGTGTAGGCTGGGCACGGTGGCCTACACTGGTGTAATCCCAGCACTTTGGGAGGCTGGGGCAGGTGGATCACGAGGTGAAGAGTTTGAGACCAGCCTAACCAACATGGTGAAACCCCGTCTCTACTAAAAATACAAAAATTCACTGGGCGTGGTGGCATGCACCTGTAATCCCAGCTACTCAGGAGGCTGGGGCAGGAGAATCGCTTGAACCCTGGAGGCGAAAGTTGCAGTGAGCCGAGATCTGGCCACTGCACTACAGTCTGGGTGATAGAGTGAGACTCTCTACCAAAAAAAAAAAAAAAAAAAAAAAAAAAAATCACTAGGTGTAGGCCAGACACGGTGGCTCACACCTGTAATCCCAGCACTTTGGGAAGCCAAGGCGGGCAGATTGCCTGAGCTCAGAAGGTGGAGACCACCCTGGGCAACACAGTGAAACTCTATCTCTACTAAAATTGAAAAAATTAGCCAGGCGTGGTGGCGGGCACCTGTAATCCCAGCTACTCAGGAGGCTGAGGAATGAGAATCACTTGAGCCTGAGAGGCAGAGATTCCAGTGAGCCAAGACTGCGCCATTGCACTCCAGCTTGGGTGACAGAGTGAGACTCCATCTCAAAAAAGAAAAAAAAAAAAAGATTCACTCAGTGTTTACGTTCTATGGATTTGGAGAAATGTATAATTATTGTAGTATTACATAGAACAATTCCACTGCTCTGAAATTCCTGTGTTCTTCCTTTCTATCCCTCCCTTCCCCCAACCCCTGGCAGCCACTGATCCTTTTACTGTCTCCATAGTTTTACCTTTTCCAGAATGTTATATAATTGAAATCATACAGTATGTAGGCTTTACAGATTGGCTTCTTTTACTTAGTAAGACACATTTACGTTTCCTCCATGTCTTTTCATGGCTTAAGCTTGAATGCTATTGCATTGCCTGGATGAATCACAATTCATTTATCCATTCATCCACTGAAGAACGTCTTGGGTGCTTCCATGTTCTGGCAATTATGAATAAAGTTGCTATACATTCAATATCTAGGTTTTTGTGTGGACTTAAGTTTCCAGCTCCTCTGGGTGGATACCAAAGAGCACAATTACTAGATTGTACGGTAAGAGGATGTTTAGCTTTGTAAGAAATTGCTAAACTGTTTTCCAAAGTGGTTGTCCTATTTTGCATTCCCCTCAACAAGGAATGAGAGTTCCCATT